TTTGTGAATGTAAGACTGTTTTATTTTAGAATGAAAGGCTATTACATTTATTAAACGTATTATGTTTAAGACTAAAAGGCTATTAGAATTTTAAAAGTGACCTTTGTATGTTCAAAGATTTTATTTTATATATACAAGAGTTCTTTCATTCTTGTACAGCCACCAGCACGCATAACGTTTCGGGCAGGTCCTTAATCTTAATTTTCCCCTGAATACGAACCGCCAAATCATTTAACAACCAAATACCTATTCACTGCTGGATGAACAAAGGCGTACAGTTAGAGATTGGAGCCCAGTCAATCCTCCGTGGCCAGGATACGAACGCAGACCAAATCGCTCGCTAAGTACCTGGGGGTGTAACTGACTTCTGTGCTAGACGTAATAAATTTTATATATATATATATATATATATATATTATATATATATATATATATATATATATTTGTGACGGTAAAGCGTTGGTGTTCGGCTGTTTCAAAAGCTAGGGGCAGGGCCCTCGTCACATAATAGAAAAAAAGAGAAAAGCTGGAGATTTCGTCTGTGGTAATGTAATGGGAAGACACACAAAACACAAGTAAATTAACAATGAAATTTTAATTACTTTAGAAAAACAAGACATGAATAAAGTTAAGCACATAAAATATGAAAGACAAGTCAACAAACAAAATAATATGAATAATCACTGGCAAATGAAAAGTTACGTTAAGACAAGTGAGTTACAGTGATAGCAAAATAAAATATTAGTGATGCCGGAATATTGGCTTCGTGCTGCCACCTCCCTTAGTACACGAAAGCCAAGGCTTAGTCTACCAGCGAGAGATGTCAACTGCATGGAGCACTGAAATATTCTGACGATATTGCCGCACTGCAGCCCAGACGTCAACTTGTGGCGGAGGCGGAGGGCAGGTGCGACGGGACACCAGCCAATCAGCGACAGGCAGGCAAAGGATGAGCAGTTTGCTGGTTACGGTGGTGGTAGGTAGCAGGTGTCACTGTGTGCTGGGTACGATATGCTCTCTGGGCAAAACGTTTTGGCGATACTTGGTGGACGTATCTTCTATATTATCTTGTATATTGACGTACTTTGTAGGGAAGAGCAGGCTCAATCTCTCTAGAAAGAGATTATCGTCACAATATATATATATATAATATATATATATAATATATATATATATATATATATATATATATATATATATATATATATATATTATATATATATGAGAGAAAATGTCTGTTGATAGTGTTGAAAGGTGGAGGCCAGACAATAATGGCTGGTGTTACCGAAATTTTTAGGTAAACTGGTCTTGGGTAACGAGAGGGGGCATAGGCTGGTCAGGTTAGGCCTAAATTAAATTATTTAACAAATATTATTTATTATTCACATGTGCTCATTAATTCAACTCTGGTCTAGTGTGAAATATTCGTTCAGATTTCCGAAGACTTTTCGTCATAAATAAATATAATTTCCAAGACTGAATGCCCAGTTATTAGACCTTTCAGACCAGTTGGCATGAGGTACCTGGAGCTTTGCAATTACTTTATTCACTCTCGTATTCCTGAAGATGTCCTCACAGTGTACCCAAAATTTGCCAGTGCAGGCTATTAAACACATGGCTCTGTATGACTAACCATCCTGCGAGATGGGGACTTGTATTACCACTGCTACCTTATTCAATCTTGTGTTGTTGATATCCTCAAAATGCATCCGGAGTCTGCCAGTGCAGACCGCTTATCACATGCCTCTGTATGATTAACCATCCTGTGTGATGGGGATTTTTTAGCATCACCTAGTTAGCTTTTTTTTTTGACACACTGTACTCCACTTCATATAGTCTAGGGTAGCTGCACTTATGCAGATGTACCTCATGTGCTAATAAAAAAAAAAAATCTAAGGGACATAAATTTGTTTCATTTCTTCAAATTATATTTAATGTAAAGGAAGAATTTTAAGGGAAGTATGGGAACTCGTCCCAACTAATTGGAGGGGGAGGGGAGGGAGAGGGGACGAAGCGAAGGGTGGGAGGAGGGAGGGGAGGGGAGAAATGAGGTGAGGTGTTGATGTGGGAGGTAGGAGGAGGAGGAGGGGAAGTAACATCAGGGGAGAGGGAGGGTAGGAGGAAGGGAGACGAAAGGTGAGGAGAGGGAGGGTAGGGGGAAAGGAGACGAAAAGTGGAGAGAAGGGAAACGAGGGGGAAGGGGGGGGGAGAGAAGGGGGGAGGGGTCTGGCGGGGGATGGGAAGATTGAGTCGGTTGAGAGTATGGGGGGGAGAATGGAAGGAGTAAGTAGAGAAAGGGGGGGGGGGGGGGTGGGTGGAGGGGGGGGGGGGGGGGGGTGGGGGGGGTGAGTGGCAGAGTGAGGGCAAGGGGAGGGGAGGGGATGGCACCGCAGCACTGCCGGTACCACCCCCCCTCCCCTCCCTAATATTTTATGAAAGAGAAAGGGGGCTAAGCTAGGGTGGGGGTGGAGGGAGGTATAGGAATGGTGGGAGGGGGGTGGATGATGGGGAGAAGAGTGGGGAGGACGAGTGAAGGAGGGGGGGGGGGGGAAGGGGCAGGGAAGTAACGTGGTTATGTTGCTTTCTGAAATTGTACGTCCAGAGGACGAGAGACTGGCAGACCCGAGTTACGCCGGGTACCACTCCCAGTCTATACCATAATACCGAATGTCTGTTCAAAGTTGGAGGCCTCACAGTTAGGGCCAGCCTCACCTAACTTGGCAGAGGGAATGGTCTGGGGTTCGGGACGGACATAGGCTGATCGGGAGTCGCAAGAATTCAACAGGGAACAACGTGCCAGGGTCACATTCAGATCCTATGACAAATTTTGGCACTGTCTAAATATTTTCTAAATCATGAACAAATGCACAAGGGCCGTGACGAGGATTCGAACCTGCGTCCAAGAGCATCTCAGACGCTGCCTTAATCGACTGAGCTACGACATGGTTATCTTGAGATGATTTCGGGGCATTTTAGTGTCCCCGCGGCCCGGTCCTCGACAAGGCCTCCACCCCCAGGAAGCAGCCCGTGACAGCTGGCTAACACCCAGGTACCTATTTTACTGCTAGGTAACAGGGGCATAGGGTGAAAGAAACTCTGCCCATTGTTTCTCGCCGGCGCCTGGGATCGAACTCAGGACCACAGGATCACAAGACCAGCGTGCTGTCCGCTCGGCCGACCGGCTCCATGGTAAAAATGGTATAAAAAACGACCGATGGTAAAAAGAGTTGAAACCGAAGTTTTACTCTTTTACCATGTCGTAGCTCAGTCGATTAGGGCAGCGTCTAGGATGCTCTCGGACGCAGGTTCGAATCCTCGAACCTGCGTCCCTTGTGGATTTGTTCATTTAATGCATCACGCAATTGGGATCTCTGTGTGTTTTATAAATCATCTAAATATTTTCAAAAAAGAAACTTTTTAAAACAACTTTATTTTTCTTATGGGAATAATCACCATCATCCACTGATCTCGGGTAAATGAACATTAATTTGCTGCTGTCAATAATTTGCCCGTATTAGCATAAACACATGAGTCTTCCACAGCTTATAAATGGTTCCTCAAGTCACGGCTCTATTATAGAGCATAGGGGGGGGGGGGTCACTATTATTTCCTAAACTTTCACACCACTTAAGTCTCACTGGTGACCACCTCACGTTAGACAGAGACAGAGACAGAAACACAAAGAGTTGATAGATGGAGAGATATAGATAGATAGATCCCCCTCCCTTCATCTTCCCCAACCCTTTTCCCTTCCCTTCTCCTTACTTCCCCCCCCCCTCCGTCATCTTAGCTCCTCTTCCCTTTCATAATATTAGGGGGGGGGGAGGGAATTGGCGGTTTTCGGGTGCTCTCTCTCCCCTGCTCTCATCTTCTCACTCCCCACTCCCCCTCTCCCTCGTCCTCCCAACTGCCTCTCCCCACCCCCTCCCACATTCCCCCACCCGACCCTCCTTCCATCTGCCCCTTCCCCTTCACCCCCCACCCTGCTCACGCGCCCCCCCCTCCCACTCCCCTCCCACATCAACCTCCCTCTATCTCCTTCCCTTCCCCCGCCTCCAAGGACCCCCCTCCCCAACCATCAAGGTCTCCCTCCCCCTCCTAACATCCCCCTGACCCTTATCCCTGCCCCTCACCCCCCCCCCTCGCATTTCCCCACCAAATTAGCCCCCTCTTTCATTTCATAAAATAAAATATTACGGAAAATTAAACTACTTTGTGTTTATAGAATTTTTATTTTTTTTATTAAGATATGAGGTACATCTGCATAAGTGCAGCTACCCTAGACTATATGAAGTGGAGTACAGTGTGTCAAAAAAGCTAACTAGGGATGCTATAAAATCCCCCTCACACAGGATGGTTAGTCATACAGACATGTGATAAGCGGTCTGCACTGGCAGACTCTCGGTGCATTTTGAGGATATCAACAACACAAGATTGAATAAGGTAGCAGTGGTAATACAAGTCCCCATCTCGCAGGATGGTTAGTCATACAGGGCCATGTGTTCAATAGCCTGCACTGGCAAATTTTGGGTATACTGTGAGGATATCTTCAAGAACACGAGATTGAATAAAGTAATTGCAAAGCTCCGGTACCTCATGCCAACTGGTCTGAAAGGTCTAATACTGGGCATTCAGTGATGTAGTGCGGGAGATCATGCCGTAGTTCCTGCTCACAGAGTTTGCAACTGGAGTGCTCAGATTGGGAGACCGTCACCTGCACCACCTGCCACAGGTAACGGTACCCAACCTGATCCTTGCAACCATTGTGTCGCACAGTCTAGTGGACGTTTTGTGCTGTCCATAGATGTCTTTTCAGATCTGAACAAATCATAGCTTTTTATAGTATACTTCAGGTCGTTGGGAGTCAGTAATGTCTAAAAATTGCTGATACGACAAAGCCTAGGAGATCTGGACGAATATTTCACACTTGAGCAGACTTGAATCCGTGAGAATCGAGTGATGTGAATTATTAATAATATTTCTTAAACCATTTAACTTAGGCCTACCTACGCCTATGACCGTCTCAGACCCAGGACCATTTTGGCAACAAATATGGATAAGGCCAGCCCTCAAGCATGGGTAAGGCCAGCCCTCAAGACCAGCCCTCAAGGCCAGCCCTCAAGCATGGGTAATGCCAGTCTTCAAAGCCAACCCTCAAGGCCAGTCCTCAAAGCCAGCCCTCAAGCATGCGACGCATTACGCTCTTATAACAATGAACAACTATACATGTGTTGTATATCCGTTTATTATGAGTTAGTATTGCCAATAGTATTACTTAGAAAAGAAGAATATAGTGAACATTGATGAACTCTTTATCCCGAGTTCTGGGCTTTTGGAGGACAGGTGAGACGACAGAGAAACGTCAGTCCTTGTTTGGTGCCACAGAGGCACGGCGTCGCCAGAGGAATCGCTCATTAAATATATAATATATATATATATATATAGATATATATATATATATATATATATATATATATATTATATATAATATATGTGTGTGTGTGTGTGTGTGTGTTGTGTTGTGTGTGTGTGTGTGTATGTGTGTGTTGTGTGTGTGTGGTGTAATGAACTGATAGGCTAGAAAAGAGATAGGTAAGGGGAGACATGATAACCACCTACAAAATTCTCAGGGGAATTGACAGGGTGGACAAAGACAAACTCTTCATCACGGGTGGAACACGAACAACGTGATACAGTTGGAAACATAGTACCCAGATAAGCCACAGAGACCTTAGAAAGAATTTTTTCAGTGTCAGAGTAGTTAATAAATGGAATGCACTAGAAAGTGATGAGGTGGAGGCTGACTCCATACACAGTTTCAAGTGTAGATATGACAGAGCCCAGCAGGCTCAGGAATCTGTACACCAGTTGATTGACGGTTGAGAGGCGGGACCAAAGAGCCAAAGCTCAAACCCCGCAAGCACAACTAGGTGAGTACAAACAATGAGGAATTAGTGATAATGAGAAATCAGTTTCAAAAAAGTATTCGGGATTATATACGATAAAAAAGTTTAGATTTTTTTTAAGATATGAAATAAATCGGATTTACGTTTATTGTGGATAGAGGATTAATCGTTTTTTTTTTAGTCCTTAGTATTTATATGTTCGTGAAAGCTCGTTGACTCTGCCACTGTGTTGTCAGTTCAAGGAAATCGTAAGTAATGAAAAGATGGAGGTAGGCAGATAGACAAACAGATAGATAGTTGGATACACACACACACACACACACACACACACACACACAACACACACACACACACACACACACACACACACACACACACACAAAGTGAAAGAGATACACAGGAAGACAAACTCAAAATCTCACTGCACTCCATAATTCAAAAATCAGACCGCAAACAAATGAATAAACACATACAAAATGTAGACAATTACAGCTAATTACCTATTAGGCAGTATAGTGCCTCATCAATTGCTAGGTAATTATACTGCCAGCTAGGCAGTATAATTACCTAGTAGGCAATATAGTGCCTATACGGCCTAGTAGGCAGTATAATTAGCTAGTAGGCAGTATAAGGCGATGAATTAACGTGACCCCTAAACTTACACTACATAATAGAACAAAACTTACAGCATCACTTCCCATTCATCTTAATGCTAACTTGCTATGCACCCATCCCTTCTCCGTCATCCATCCCTCATTCTTACTCTGCTCTCCTCTCTCCATCCTTTCCTTACTCCCTCCTCACCTCTCTCTCTCTTTTTTTCTCTCGCTTTTTCTCTCTCACTCCCCCTTGTTCGGAGTTCGCTGAGCAGTGCTGCCCGTAGCTCAGAACATTACAGGCAGCAGTGGAGTTAAGAACTTAAACGTAACATCTTCCGCACTGCATGTTTGTAGCATTGCATTGAACAGAGTTTGTTCGTGCTTGCGTGCATGTGCGTGCGCGCGCGCGTGTGTGTGTGTGTGTGTGTGTGTGTGTGTGTGTGTGTGTGTGTGTGTGTGCGTGCGTGCGTGCGTGCGTGCGTGCGTGCGTGCGTGCGAGTGAGAGAGAGAGACTGTGTGAATACTCGCCTAACTGAACTTGCGTGGAATGAGTTTCCCCTCTCTTCTGCCGCCTCTCAACTCTCAATCAACTGGCGAAAAGGTTCCTGAGCCTACTGGGCTCTATCGTATCTACTTGTGAAACTATGTGTGGAGTCAGCCTCCACCACATCACTGCCTAATGCATTCCATCTGATAACTACTCTGACAACTGAAGTTTTATATAATATCTCTCTGGCTCATTTAGGTTCTAAGTTTCCACCCGTGTCCCCCTTGTGCTAGTGCCATCAATGCTAAATAGTCTGTATTTATCTACCTAATCAATTTCCCTGAGAATTTTGCATGTGGTGATCATGTTTCTTCTAACTCTTCCATCAACGTGAGGTTCAACTCATACAGTTATTCATCATAACTCATATTTCGTAGTTCTGGGTCTATTCTGTTGGTGTACCTGTTAACCATTTCAAACTTCTTTTTGTTCTTGACTCCACGTTGGAGCTCCCTATTCCATAACTGGTCTGGTATGTGTGATATGCAAGGTTCTTAACAAGATAAACAAGGTCCTTACATAAATTTCTGAAGACAATTCTGATGTTTGCCAGCCATGCATATGCCGCTGATGATATATAATGTACCTACCTAAAATCACATAATAAATAACTTAATTTCATCCTCCTAGTTTCCTTACCTTATGCTACAGACTCCCACTGTATCTAGTGCTACCCACTCGCCCAATGTTAGTACTTAAGATAATGCAACTTCATCAGAATAATGAACACTATAAATTTATATTGTAGTTATTATGTTGAACAATAATATGAAAGAGTCTATTCCCTCTGGGAGATTGTTTACATATATCAGAAACAAGAAAGTAGCAATGACTGAACCTTATGGGACTCCACTAGTGACATCTTGTCACTCAGAGACCTCACTCCCCACAGTAACTGTCTTCGGTTGCTTTACTACTCCCTTATCCACTGGAGTGACTTCCCTTTTATTCCTGCCTGCATCTTCAACTTATGCACTAGTCTCTTATAGGGTACTGTGTCTAAGGCTCTCTGGTAATCCAGAAATATGCAGTCGCCTACACTTTCTTGCCTGATTTCTGTCGCCTGGTCATAGAATTCTACTAATTCTGTGAAGAAAGATTTGCCATCCTTGAACCAATGCTAAACATGTATTACAGGGTTCATTTGTTCGAGATGATTTACAAATTTGTTCCGCATAATCGTCTCCATCAACTTGCATGGTTTGCAAGGAAGGGACGCTGGAGTACAGATGTACTCTTGTATATCAGGACAACAATAACAGTCTTCATCATTTTTGGCAGTTTTGTTACCAGTGACTTGCTGTACACCATTGAGGCTGGCGCAGTACTTCCGCTCCCTCTTTTAATAGCAATGGGCAGATTCCGCAACCCATCCTCCGAATTGACAGTACGATTTAATACTAAGTGTAATAAGTACACTTTCTTACTGTCACAAGCAGTGCATAATTACAGTTATGGGGCTGTTACATTTACCTAACCCCCTCCCCCGATTTAATTCTCCTCGTTTTCTGTTAAGACACTCAGAATTTTAGGATGAAGTTTTCAATTTCTAATGCACAAGTTTTAAATATCAGGAATTTCTATTTCAGGTTTATTAAACAATATAGATTTTATACAAAATTTTAAAATATCCTGAGTTACTTTACAATTTATTGATATATTTTAGTTTTGTTTTATTAGTTTTATAAAACTTTAATATCAATATAGCTATAGGTTAAGTACTAATTGTAATTAAGAAGCAATAAAATTATTATCTTCAAAAACTAAGACGGTTAGGTGAGGTTGTAGTTTTCAATTCAATTTTTCAGGTAAACTCAAATATTCACAATATATTTGACAGTACGATTTAATACTACGTGAAAATAAGTACAATTCCTGACTGCTATGAATAGTACATAATTGCATTTATTTGTCTTCTTACATTTACCACCCCATTTTTGGAGGACGGGCTGGATTCCGTCTGAGCCAATAGCCTTTGCCACATCCAATTGAAGCAAATACTTCCTTACTTTCCACTGGATTTCCATTGGAAATCTCAAACTCCTCCAGTTGTGCCTGGCTAGATATTCACTCTTATCTCAGGAACTTCTCCTTACTCCAAAATGATGACCTCCTGGAATTTCCTGTGTGTCTCACACACCATGTTATTTGTAGTGAACATGTCGGCCCCTATCCTCAGTTTCTTTCCTGCTCTTACACTGTTGTTTTCCTTCTGATGTGGCTGTGGAGCAGCTTGGGTTGAGTCTCTGCTTTATTTGCTATCTCATTTTCGTACTTTCTGCCTTTCTTTTTTACCATGAGGAATTTATTCCTGGCCCTCTGGTATCTTTCTCTACTCTCTGGTGTCCTGTTATTTCTCCACGACCTTGTACTTAGTTGCTTTGCCACCTTACATCCTTGAGTAAACCATGGGTTTCTCATTTGCATTTTGTATTTTTCCTTTTTGACTGGAATAAACTTGTTTACTGCCGCCTTACACTTCAGCCTGATGTAGTGCATCATGTCTTGTGCAGCCTCTCTTCTGAGCTCTGTTACCCATGGTACACCTGCCAGGAATTTTCTTATATCCTCGTAGTTTCCTTTTTGGATCGCCAGCCTTTTGTTTTCTGGTCCCTTTCTTAAATAAGTAATAACTACTTCTGCCAGAATCTCAAACATCAACACACTGTGATCGCTCATTCCCACGGAGGCTTCCAAGCTGGTTTCCTTTATGTCTGAATCGTTCAGAGTGACGACCAGGTCAAGTCTAGCTGGTTGATCATGGCCTCTCATGCGCCGCGTTAGTCCCCCTGACATGCTGGCTTTAAAAGTTACATGTTGCCATATCCAATTGTTCAGCTCTCCATGTTTCTGCGCCCGCATAGGAGTCCTGCGCGATTATCGCGCTAATAGTCGTGAACGATTATTTACTATTCGTATTTACTATTTGTGCCTGCAAGATCGAGCCGGGTACTAGGACCTCTAACCGTCGCTTTTTTAACGTACTGACACCCGATCCCCTGGAAACACAAACCGTAACTGTCTCTATTTTCCGTCTGTTACAACTTGTAATAAAGTTGTTACATCTTGGCTTAACGTGTTTATGCCGTATTAGAACGTTGTGACAACTTGCTATATTGGTTGTTATAACTGGTTAGGCGTTAAAATTTGTTCGACCGTTGTACCAACGTCGTAGTTTCGGTGTGTGTTTGGCGGGGAGCTATTTTGTCCTTAACTTCATGTATTTCTCTCTCTCACACACACATCCCCAGGAAGCAGTAAGTAGCAGATGTCTAACTCCCAGGTTTACTG